CGGAAGGATCACTGGAGCTCAGCAGGTCAAGGCTGCGGTGGCCGGGAGCGGCCACTGCACTCCAGTCTGGGCAACAAAGTGAGACTCCAACTCAAACAAACAAAACAAAACAAAACAAAAAAATTCATTGCTAAATCCAAGGTCATAAAGATTTACTCCTGTTTTCTCCTACAAGTTTTATAGTTTTAGCTCTTATATTAGACTATAGATACACTATGTTTGCTCTTTATTTTTTTTTTATTTTAAGGAAATAAGGTCTCACCATGTTCCTCAAGCTGGCTATGAACTTCCAAGCTCAAGTGATCTTCCTGCCTCAGCCTCCCGAGTAGTTGGGATTATAGGCATGTGTCATAACATCTGGCTACTAATCCATTTTAAGTTATTTGTATACAGTGTAAAATGGGGGTTCAGTTTCAACCATTTGCAAAATTCCAGTTATTCTATATTCAACTTTAAAAAATAACTGCAAACTTTTCCAGTGAGGCGCTACCATTTTACATTTCCATCAGTCAAGGAAGGTTCCAATTTTTCACATACTAGCTAGAACTTAGTGTTGACTTTGTTGATTATAGCCATTGCAGTAGGTATGTAGTGGTATCCCATTTGTATTTAATTTGCAATTCCTTGGTGACTAATGGTGTTAAAGATCTCTTCATGTGCTTCTATGCTTACTGGCCATTAATCTAACTTCTTAAGTGAAATATCTTTTTAATTTTTTTTGCCCAAAATTTTAAACTGGGTTGTCATTATTGAGTTGCAAGAGTTCTTTATATATTGTGAATAAATAAATGCTCATTATTTTCTCCCAATCTGTACTTTGTCTTTTCATTTTCTGAATAATATCAATTGAAGCACAAAAGCTTTTAATTTTGAAGAAGTCCAATTTGTCAGTTTCTCTTTTCTGGATCAGGCTTTTGGGATCATACCTAAAAACCCTGAGTAATCTAAAGTCATAAATATACTCGTCAAAAAGTTCTATAGTTTTTAGCTCTTACCTACGGAGTTCTGGTCTAAGCTCATTTGCTCTCATGTGAATACTGCTCCGGGACCATTACATTCAATTGTCTTGGGCCCTTTGTTGAAAATCAGGTGACCATAAATATAGGACTTATTTCTGAACTCCCAATTATGCTCCACTGATCAATATACCTGGCCTTGTGCCAATACCACATCATCTTGATTATTGTGGCTTTACAATAAGTTTTAAATCAGAGTGTGAGTCCTTCAACTTGGTTCTTCCACAAAATTTTGTGGATAGTCTAGGTCTTTTATGTTTCCAAACAAATTTTAAAACTAGTTTTGTGAATTTCTACAAAAAACCCTAATGGGATTTTGACAGGATTGGATTGAACTCAATTTTTAGGTAAATATGGGCAGAATGACCATTTTGGCAATACTGAGTCTTGTAATTCATAGAAATTTATTTAGGACTTCTTTAATTTCTCTCAGCAATGTTCTGCAGTTTTTAGTGTACATGTCTTCTATTTAGTTGAATTTATTTGCATTTCATCCTTTTTGATGCTAAAAGGAATAAAATTATTTAATTCTTGGATTGTATACAAAACCACAAATGATTTCTGTATATTAATCTACGCTCTAACTGCTAAATCTTACTAATTCTATTATTTTTTGGGTCACATCTTCTGTGAAAAGAGACCCTTTTATTTCTTTCACTTTTTCTTTTCCAAACTGGATGTCTTTTCTGGTTTATTTCTTCTTCTGCTTCTTGACTGACTGCCTTACTCGGCTAGCCAGAAACCTGAAAACAAGGTTGAACAGAAATGCCAAAAGCCAGCATCTGTTGCAGGCAGAAAGTATCCAGGCCTTCGCCAATCAGTGTGGTGTTACTGTGGCTTTTTGTAGATGTTCTTTATCAAGTTGAAAATTTCTCTTCTATCTCTAGTTTATAAGCGGGTCTGAGATACTTATATGCCTAGAAGCTTCAAATTTTTTGTTTTGTTTTGTTTTGTTTTTGAGTTGGAGTCTCACTCTGTCACCCAGACTGGAGTGCAGTGGCCGCTCCTGGCCACCACAGCCTCGACCTGCTGGGCTCTGGTGATCCTTCCGCCTCAGCCTTCCAAGTAGCTGGAACTACAGGCGTGCGCTACCACGCCCGGCTGATTTTTTTATTTATTGTAGAGATGAGGTCTTGCCAAGTTGCCCAGGCGGGTTTCGAACCACAGGCTCAGGCAATCCACTCACCTCAGTCTCCCAAAGCGCTGGGATTACAAGCTGAGCCACTGAGCCGGACTCAAATGCTTTTTTTTAGCAGGTTCTCAACTCTGTTGCCCTGAGTGTAGTGGAGTGTAGTGGCATGATCACAGTTCACCACATTGTCAGCCATTAACTTCCTTGGGCTCAAGTGATCCTTCTGCCTCAGCCTCCTGAGTATCTGGGACTACAGGGCTGCACCACCACGCCCAGCTAAATTTTATAGTTACTAGTAGAGACGAAGTCTTGTTATGTTGCGCAGGCTGGTCTTGAACTCCTAGGCTCAAGCGGTCCTCCCACCTCCACCTCCCAAAGTGCTGGGAATACAGGTATGAACCACTGTGTCTGGTGCTTTCCCCCTAATTATTGAGATGATCATATGGGTTTTTTCCTTTACACAATCCATAGGGTATATTACATATTTCCAGATGTTGGCTGGGTGTGGTGGCTCATGCCTGTAATCACAGAACTTTGGGAGGGAAGGCAGAAGGATCACTTGATCCCAAGAGTTCAAGACCAGGGCAGACAACACAGCAAGACCCTGTCTCTACAAAACACTTAAAAAGTAGCTGGGAGTAATGGCACACACCTGTAGTCTCAGCTGCTGGGGACACTTAGGCAAAGGCAGAAGGATAACTTGAACGCAGGATTTTGAGGTTGCAGCAAGCCATGATTGTGCCACTGCACTCCAGCCTCAGCGACAGAAAATCTGACTTAAAAAAAAAAAAATTTCTAGATGTCAAATTGACCTTAAATTCCTAGATAAATACTACTTTGGGTTAATCATTTTTATATACTGCTGTATTCAATTTGCTAATGTCTTGTTCAGAATTTTTACATCAATGTTCATAAGAAATATTAATCTACAACTATCTTTTATTTTTTTAAAGTTGGAGTTTCACTCTGTTTCCCAGGTAGGAGTACAGTGGCACAGTCAGGCTACTGCAGCCTCGACCTGCTGGACTCAGGTGATCCTTCTGCCTCAACCTTCCAAGTAGTTGGAACTATAGGGGTGTGCCATCATGCCCAGTTAATTTTTTTTTGGAGTCAGAGTCTCACTCTGTTGCCCAGGCTGGAGTGCAGTGGCACACTCA